ATATATTTCTTTAATCCTTTTTTAAAGCATATGCTGCTAAGGTGTAGCAGAAATAAAAAACATAACAATTTCCAAAACTTTTTCCATAAAATTTCACATGTTCATCTGCCTAAAATGTTTTGTTTGATTACTTGCTCTTAATGTTAACTTCCAATTATAACATTTGTGATCTTCCAGAAGCTTCATTTTCATCAATTGTCGTTCACAAGAATTCATAATTTTTAAAATAGTTTCAATACAAGATTTGCACAATTCTAAGACATAAGTTATGCAACGACTGGTTTCAGATGAAACTTTTGCTCTGTATACTTTAGTAAAATATCTATAATAATTATTTCAGAAAAGCATCACACAAATAATGATCAACCTGCAAATATAATATAGAACTACTTTTAAAACTGTTTTCTTTATTAGTTTATGTGTTAAAGGTGTTCTGGACTTAACTCCATTTTTTTTTGAAAAGTTATTTATATTTTGCAATTTGCAGTTTTTGTGTAACTGTAAATAAGTAACTAAAATAAATCAAATGAATATTAACATTACTAAAAACTAAAATTACTATAAAAAAAAATTATCCTACAAGTTAAATTGCTTAGAGATTATTATTAAATGAAAATATTTTATTATACTTTGTACTAAGTTTGTTGAATATTGCATCAAAAAAGTAAAAAATGCAGTAAAAAAGAATACTCATGCTAAGACTTCCACTATTTTTTAAATACAAATATGCAAATATGCATTTACACAGTTTATAATCGCAATTAAATGCACTTATACAATTAAAAAATGCTTACTTGTATCATAACCTATTTTTTTATATTACTTGCAAAGAATTTTACTGAGAAAAAATATTTGCATATTTTAGGTTACAAAAGCATATATATATATATATATATATATATATATATATATATATATATATATATATATATATATATATATATATATATATATATATATATATATTATATATATATATATATATATATATATATATATATATATATATTATATATATATATATATATATATATATATATATATATATTTTTTTTTTTTTTAACATCTTCACTTCCAACAAGGCTGCAAGCAACCACTATAAGAGTTGGAAGTTACTGGAAGAGAAAAGACTAAATCTGTAGAGCAAGATAACGATTGACTGATGACTTAAAAGATTGCAAATTATATGAATCAGGAAAGCAAGATGAAGGAAGCGAATTCCAAAGAACTGATGTTCGAGG